CATTATTCCTTATCGCCATATGCAGCAAAACATTGAACCTAATTGAGTAAAGATCACTTGCACCCAGATGTTCTCCAGTTTCCACCATCTCAATAATTTCTGTATTTGAAGTTAACAATAACTTTAAAATAGCATTATTTCTAGTTGGTTCCTTGACTAACTGGTGAAGAAAGCCATCCTGAAAAGGTTCCAAAAACCTTTCTCCCTCATGGTTTGATTCTAGAATTTCCCAATCTATATGCCTGAAATTAAAATCACCCATAATTATGACTTCATAAACAGCTGAAATCTTAATTTCATTGTGAAGTTTCTCACTAATTTCATCAGTGTAGTTTGGTAGTCTGTAACAAGTTCCTACTAAAAGCCTTTTCCTTTATATCTACTAATAGAAACTCAAATGGATTCAGTCTCTTTGCTATTCTTATATGTCACAAGGCTTGAATAACTAATAAAACAACACTTTTTTTTTCAATGTGATGTTTTACATCAATAATATGTATTTCAATGATACGATTCATATCAAAATTGTTTTCATAACCAACTTTAAATGCTAGTAGTAGTGTTGGGATAGGGATGAGGATTGAGTGTGAAAAGGGCATAGGTCAAAATGGTTGGATTAGATTTGTAAAAGTAAACTTTGAAAGGGAGAAAAATTGTGCCAAAACTTTGGTTAATATGGGCATATTGGGGGTGGCACTTGGGCCCAGAATTTTTCTGACAGGCCCTGCCTAAGGTCATGTGTAAAATAAGTTATATATATAGTCGATGTTTATCAGAGCAGCTAAGATCTAACAAGATTAAGCATAATGTTACCCTGCATATTCATATTGTAATACAGGATCTAATTTAGTTTTTGTTGTTGATTTACTGAATAATTTTGCTTTAATTTTCTACAATTCAACACATTATACTTCTGAGCATTTATAATGTAAGTAAACTGAATTTTGTTTTATTTATTTGTCTTTAATTAAATCCATTTTCTTGTTTTGCTACACCAGAAGCTCGTGGTTTTTAGCATTAATGATGTAGAAGTATACATCCCGGGCTTTTGACTCAATTTAATATCTGCTTTACAATATAAAGCTAGGTATGGCCTATTGGTTAGTACTCTGGGCTGTGAATTGGAAGGTTCAAGATTTGGACCGTGATGTAATGCTGAACCAGCTTTACACTTACAGCTTTGGGAACATTATAACTGAAATAGTCAATCCCAGTGTTCAGTTAAAAGTATTTGTGGTGAGTGCTTCTGACTTAGTTGTCAGAATCTTGTAGATCTCTGACTTAGCCATTTAGCCTGTGTGTCAGGTAAGATTGAAAACAATAAATACCAAAGTTTAACATACAATGCATAATGTTAAAGTTAATATCAGAACAAAATACTGTTTGTGATGTTACAACTTTTCCTTGATTTTTTTGAAAACTGAAGATGAAATAATAACTCTTTCAAGGGTTCCAACTCTGTGTTCAACATTCAGTTGATTGACGATTCAGATATCTTTAGTGTGGAGCCACCACTTGCTACAGGTTCTACTTCCATAAGTATCAGGGTTGCTAATGGTCCATTGGATTATGAAAATCCAAATCAACGTAAATACATATTGCTGGTAAGTATTTGACATTTATTGCACTTACAAATGAGAATCAAATGTAATGCTTTATTTACACTTAAAAAATATATATATCTAAAAGAAATACGTGTCTCTGGGCTCTTTAATATATCTTGGTATCAGATATGTTCAAAATCCCAAATGTTTTGTTTAACAAAGCAAGTTAATATAAGAAACTAGTGTGCATATATGCCTATAAAGTATAACATCTAGAGGAATCCACATGATTAATAGTAAAATATAAAGATGTGTTTTGGAAGTTTTAAAAAAGTTGGTGACTTGAACAATTGAAAATTGAAATTATGATTATGTTAATAAAGATTATAATATGCTTTATAAAATGAAATAAATAAGGACTAATTTTAATTAGTTTTTCTATTACAAATTATGTGAAATTATTTATAATTTTGTAATTAGATGCAATGCATAGCTAGGACTTTTTACTTTTGTAGTCCTAGAAAGGTAATCCAAATAACTAATAATCTTTAGTTTGTAGGATGTGTTTCAAAATGTCTATGCCTTTTACATTAAAGACATTGGCAGAAAGAACAAAATTCCCTTATTATGCTACTTATAGTCAACTCCAGATTTAAGTGTGATTTTTTTGTTTTTTTACCAGTAATTTTCACCTCTTACAGAAATGTATAACTTTATTAAGTTGCCATTATTAAAAAAAAATGTGCTTCAGGTTATGTACAGTTTCATTTTTACCCAAACTTTGGTCCAATTTCCAAGAATTCCTTGCTACCATTTCACAACTTTACACATCATTATGCCATTGTAAATTTTGACAAAAGTAAAGGAAATTAAACTGATTTTAGATCTATGAGACAATGTTTACTACAAAGCAACATCTACAATGAGACAACTACCTCAGAACAACATTTTGAAATTATCAACATTACAACTTTATTTCTCCTTCTCAGATCTTTGGCGTATGTTGAGTCTACTGGTTCATTTACATCACAATGTGCTGGCTCACATATAAGCACATGACAAATGTTTTATGTACCTAATAACAGAAATAGTCATAAATTAAATATTAAAGAATAAGCCCACTTAAAATTAAGTTTGTTGGTTGATCACTTGTAACATTGTTTGTAGATTGAGGTTTCAAGTGGGAGAAATTTGATGGCTCACCAGTACTTCTAAATGATATTAAAATTAAGGAAAAATAAAAAATAATATTGTATTATCAATCCTTACCATAATTTTGATTTATTAATGACTGCCTAAGTAAAATTAGTGTTAAAAATGAAAAAATAATATTGTATTATTAATCCTTACAATAATTTTAATTTGTAAATGACTGCTTAAGTAAAATTGATAATGATTACATTTCACTTACTTGATCTAGTTTACACCATTACAGTTGTTTTCCATGCAACTGATCATATGAATAACATGTAGACCACTTCTATGTCTGTTGTATCCCAGCCAGCATAACCTTCCCTGCTTTCACTCATAAGTTCTTAAAATTGTACTTGAAAGTCAAACAGAGGAAGTGGTAAATAATGAGGATGAGAAAGTGCTGTTAACAAGGTAAATCATAAAAAGAGAGTAAGGTTTTAAAAGTGAAAGGAAGTATAAGTCTGTGAGAACATTATGAAATCTGATGTATGATGAGAAACAGTGAAAATGATCTAGAAAGCAAAAGCTATTGTTGATGCAACATTGATACAGCCCCTTTAGAGACAAGTCTCAAACATCAGTTTTGAACAGTGGTATTTGATTCACTTATCCACTTGGAGATGAATGTAAGAAATACCAAGCCCTCTGTAAAAGATTTTTAAGTGTTCTAGGTAAGGAGAGTCTGTTGTTGAAGTGAAGTGTCTAGTAAATGTGGTATTTCATGTATGGGGTCAAGAATGGGTAAAGTGTGAGAAAAGATAGCTGCAAAATTTGGCTGGACAAAAAAGGGGAAATTATATCAACAAAAGATTTGTTGTGGACTTCTTCAACAAGACTAAAAATGTTCTTTTCTCAAAAGTCCAGCATGTGCAGCTCAGACGAGTCAGCTTAGTTAACTAGGAAGGATATTTTCAGACTAATGCTTAAATAGTGAGAAGAATGCAAAGATAAAAAAACGAAAAACTTTGGAGTTCAGAGAAATATAAGTATTTAATCAGTAAGTAACATATTATATAATGCTGAAACTGTTAAGAAGTAAAGTTTTCTTTTCTTCCCATTTTTGTGGTTAAAAGCTGAGTATGCCTGTCACATTTCTCTAGAACGGTGTTTAAAAAAATATTGGTTATAACTTTGGAATGCATTTTGATGTGTAAGTCACAGAATGTATTACTGGCTTTCAAATGGAAGTAATTTTGATGATAACTAGTTGAGAGTAAATATCAGTTACCTCTTCAAGGCGTTCAGCAAGAGGGAAAGGATAGTGAGACTTCAAAATCTCCAAATTTAGAGTTACTGTTTTCTTAACTTTTATAGAGCCTATGACTTCCAGTGTAACTCCTTGTCATTTTTCATAGCTTAGTAACAACATTGATAAGATATACAGCTTTTAAGGTTTTGTCCTATAGTGATTGGTTACATTTACTGAGCTAGGCTGACATCCCCCAGATGTAAATGTAAAATAATTTCTAGGAACAGTTAAATGATACAAAACAGAGGGAGCCACATCATTTGGATGACTACCAGAAAGAGGAAGATCAACCAAAGAATTGTGGCATTTCTTATCCCTATCCATGAAAATAACTATATATATATACGAGTTGAAGAACTGAAGGGTGATAATGATATGGTAGCTGAATTCTTTACAATCCTGAGAAGCCTATCCTTTGACATAAAATTACTGGGAACTAAAGTAAACAACCAAACAAAAGAAATAGTTAGGAAACACACCACCACAAGAGAAGTGTTAACAGTAATTGGGACTATTGAGTGTAGTGCAAAAATCTTGCTGAGAGCAAAGCATTTATCAAACAAGTTATCAGTGTAGGCCTTAAGCACAAATATGAAAAGCAATTGCTTGGAGTCTTATACGATTAAAGAAATCATACTATTCCAAACAAGTATTTAAAAAATTATTTTACTATAATTCTTGTTTCATTCTTAATAAAGTTAGTTATTTTAGAATAATCTGAGCCTTAGTTTATTTTTTGGATTAGTGTGTAACTTGTAAATAGTTTGTGATCTGATCAACTTGCTGCTTGGAGCCTTAGGCCTAGACAAGCCAAAACTGGAAGTTCTTGAAAATTAACTAAAGTAAAGCAAAAAAACAAGAAAACCTTAGTACAATTAAAACAAGGAAAAAAATATTAGCCCTAACAACTTATCTTGAGACTGATGTAAACATGTTGATTAATTACTAAAGTTGTATCTGTACTCAGAAATTAACCTATTTGACCACATTGGTATTCTGAAGATGTACTGTCTTGTGAAAATCTGCTCCTCATAACAATCTACTTTTATATTCAAGCTTAATTTATGTGACTGGTGTAGAAGTGTGTGTCACTAGAGCACCAATTATCATAATGACAGTAAACAAATAAGCTAGATATCAAACATCACAATAATATTTTAGAAACTGATGCTGTTTTTTTAATGAATTTTTAATTTCAGCCTTCTCTCAGGAATTTTAAGTTTGGTATATTTTATGCATTAGTTTGAATTTTGCTAATTTTTTTTTTCTCTCATTCTGCAGGTAGTTGCAGAAGAAGCTTTCACCAACCCTCGACTTTCCAGCACAGCTAGTGTAACAGTCAACATATTGGACACTAATGATAATATTCCACAGTTTGAACATGAACGTTACACAGCTTCTATCATGGAGGATGCTTCCCCGGGAACTGTTGTATCAACAATATTTGTAAGTTTCATTGTAGAAAGTGTGTACTAGTATAATGGAAGTTAAATGTATTCTGTTGTGATGTGTGCTTCTTCATTGTTTGATTAATACATTTTATTAGATGTTATTGCTGTAATTTATCATACATAACATTTAATGCTGTCACTGTAGATAGATTTATGGTGATCATAAAGTAAATAAATATATAAACAAAAATAATTTCACTTTATGGCTCTTATAACAACTGCTTTGTCTATGCAATAATCATGTACCTTGTGTGTAACATTTAATGATGCGACCTATGCTGTTTTGTAGCAATCACCATGTATGTCATTGTGTGTAACATTTAATGATGTAACCTCAGCTTTGTTGTAGCAACCACCATGTATGTCATTGTATGTAACATTTACTTACGCAACCTCAGCTAATTTTGTAGCAAACATCATGTGTGTCATAGCATGTAACGTTTAAATATGTAATTTCAGCTATTTTGTAGCAACCACCATGTGTGTCACTGTGTGCAACATTTTATAGTGCAACTTCAGCTCTATTGTAACAACCAACATGTGTTATACATGTGATAATGTATAACCCTTGATATGTTTTAGTACTGTGTGTATAAAAAATGTCTTAACATATTCCTATTTTACATTAGGCCACAGACCGAGACAAAGGATCATATGGAGAAGCTGGTATTGTATACTCTCTCTTTGGAAATGGAGCAGAAAGGTAAGGAACTTGTATTATGAACTTTATAATATATTAAAACTTTATATCAAAAATTAGCATGAGTTTTTCACTTACTGAAATCGTTGTATAGTAACTACTAGTTTATTATAGCACTTAAAATGTCAGATCCACTAAGAGCACTATCATCTGTTATACTTTATTTCACACTACTTTACTGCTGTATCTATATCTACCCTTACTAAAATTCAAAGGAATGGGCACAGGAATGATCTAGTCTTTATCACCTATTTCATAAACAACATAAGAAGTGTTGTTCTTGCCTTCATCCCCTTTCTCTGTAAATCTGCATTTAATTTGATCCAAGTATCTACATATAACTCTACCATCTCACAATATAGCTTGTAATATATTGTAAACAAGGTATTTTACAACAGTTCTTGGGCAGCCATTTATCAACTTTGGTATAATTACTCACATAAACTTTATCATTAAATTCATAACATAACTCATAAAATTTTAAAGGGACAAAAAGAAGCTTATTAGCCTATCAAGGATGTCCCTTCCAGTTCCCAACTATAACCACCCCTTACTACTCATGTATTCATCCTACCTTTCCTTGAACTCGGTTAAATTTTCTGCCTCCACCACTCTTGAAGGTAGCTCATTCCAGTAGCCAACCACCCTGTTTGAAAAGTAATACTGTCTAAACTGCATATGACTCCTATGCTGCCAAAATTTGAATTTATGATCCTTTGTCCTACTGTTTTCACTGCTAAACACAAAAAAGTTTGGATCTTTATTATCAATAACCTTAATTAATAATTAATTAACAATACAATATGTAGCATACTGAACATCATGATTTTTCTTTTTTATCTGTTTATCTTTCACACAGTCAGGAAATTTTGTCTTTACAGCGGTCTTTCAGGGAAAAAATTGTGCAAGTCCATTGTGTTGATTTAAATATTATTGAAGTAAATCATACATATACAACTGTGTAACTTCTCGAAGTGCTCATATTGTAAGATCTGAACACTGGAAAAATATTTTGCTTCAGTAATGTTAAATTTATATATTTTCACTGTTCTGTCAAGTAGGAAATTTTGAAATGCATAATATTTATAAGTCAGATTCTGTGTACATCCAGCTTTGAGTGTGATATCAGTTGAATGTATAATGATGCTTTACCACATTTTTGTTTTAAAGTTGGTGAACATAAATTCTTTGGTATTAATACAATATACAAAAAACTTTAGGTTCTATGTAAATCCAACTTCAGGAGTAATAACTGTTGCACCTTGTGAGACACCAGGATCAGGAAACTGTCTTGATTTTGAGACCCGACCATCTTACCTTCTATCTTACCAAGCGACTGATAATAATGGCCTTGGGCAGGTGGCAGTTGTATCACTGACTGTAAATGTTGCCGATGCAAATGACAATCCTCCAGTGTTTCTTCATGATGTTTATACAGCAATAATAGATGAAGGAGAAACAGTATTCAATCCTACATTGAAAGTTAAGGTCAATATAATTTCACTTTTCAGTTGCTGATTTTAAAAGGCTCTTCAGTTAGTCATTAAGCTCTTATTTCTTATGTATTTTTCTGTCAGTATAGAGCCAAATGTATTGTTATTGTTCTAAGTATGCTAAAACTCTGAAATATTTTGAATTAGAGTTCATTGTTTTTCAGAGTATATTATAGTTTGAAAAGTTAAAATGTTTCACATTTATATTCTCTTTCTAAAAGTAATGCTTATAATTTTAAAAATATTTTATTACAAATTTATAGTTTTGAAAACATTTTCTAAAATAATTATTTACTTGAAATAGTAAAACATCAAAGTATGTCAAAAAAAGTAAGAATTTATATATCTCTTCAGTGCTTTTTAAACTTGTATTCTCAAGATTAAGCATACCATAAGTTAGCTTAGGAAAATGGGAGATTAACAAATTAATTTAACTTAAACAGTTTTCACTTCAACAAACTATCTCGTACACAATTAAGTTTGCTAGAATTTATTCTTATTTCTGAACTTTTTACTTTTTATTGCTGTTTTCTTTATGCATAATTTTGTGCAATAAATGAAATATTAGATCAATTTGTAACTAGGAGCTATATTTATATAGATTCTTGATACAGACATGACTTTCTTAGTTACACACAACATCTCTATGAAATGTTATATCATTTTGTACCCACAAGCTTTGTTCTTTAGGCTCTTGATGCAGATGTAACCTCCTTGCCTTCGTACAGCATTACTGGTGGAAATAATTTGGAGCTATTCAGCATTAATAACCACACAGGAGAGATTCTAGTGTCAAATCCTGCTGGACTGGATGTGTCAGCTTTAAGAACAGATTTGTAAGTTTATTATAACAAAAAAAGATTAACTCAATATATTTGAGTTTTCAGTCTGTTTGATAACCAATATTATTAGTTTATTTTATAATTTAAAAAATATTTTTTTTTCTACCTCATGTTTTTTTGTTTGCTTTTTAGTGTTTACTCAAATAAAGGATATCTCTTAAAACTGGAAGATTAATATCAAGTTCTCCAAAAATTCATTTAAGTTTGGAGCTTAATATTGAACTTGTGATTTCATTTCTTGAAATTAGAATAAAATGATAGTTCTATATATTATCATAAAAAAAAATAATAATAATAAAAATACATGAAATATTGTCTTTGCCTCGTGAGCTTTATAGAATTAGGTGGATGAAAAATATTGATCCAAGGCTTTACAGTGCATTGTAGAAGCTATCAAATTTATTATTATTTTTCACACAAAATCTGTTTTTCTAATAGGATAATACTGACTGTACAAGCATCAGATGGTGGAAAAGGGATTGACACAGCAGTGGTTCAAATAACTGTCAGAGTAAGTTAGTCTTTAGTGTTTTTAAAACAACCAGAAAGAGCTTTTAAATACTTACCAGTAATGTAGTTCTTAAATCCTCTTGTGAAAAGCTTTAAACAAAATAATGACAGAAAAATATTAAATTAATAAGTAGTATTTCTCTTTATATCATACTAGTTGGTAGTTCTAATCTGGTTTTCCGTATTAGTGTACTAGTTATACGATTATAAATGTCTTTTATATTAAAACTGTTGGAATGTGTTTCAGGATGCCAACAACAACAACCCAATATTTGATGAATCTTCATATGTTGCATCAGTTGCAGAATCTTCAGCCCCTGGTGAGAGAAAACGTTATAACACTTTATCACTGTCTCTGGAAACAGATTGCATTTCTAGTTTTCGTGTTGTTCTTCTCTCTGACTTTGTTACATAATGTCAAACATTTCGTTGACAAATAAATCAAAATATAATCATTAGTGTGCATTATTAAAGACAGTTTTCTAAGGGTATTTAATGGTGTATAGAGCTTATAAGACTAATAGTTTGAACTGAAATTCAAATAAACTATATTCAAATGTTACGGACAGTTGTAATTGTCATTTTATATCTCTCGCATCCACCCTCTGATAGGCTCTCATGAACAAAAGTACATGTATTTTAGGTACTCTTCCTCTTTAATAAAACGTTTCTACAAAATATACCTACCTAAGAGTACAGAAGCAATCAAGGTTTTGGTTAGTATGATATTCTTAAGCTGCAAACTTAACCCTTTGTGTATATTGTATATTTTCACCTAATATTGTAGGATATATGACCCATTTTATATTTTGTCTCGTGATTTTCTTAGTCTAACAATAAACCTGTTTACAAAAGAGAATATTCCACCCTCGCCCAGTTTACAACCCAGCATCTTCAGCATACTTTAGTGCTCTTTGACTGGTGCTCTATCAACTGAGTTATTGGAGCTATATATATGAGCAAACAACTCTTATCATAATGATTACAGTAGTTATGACTGTACATGTATATTGTTTTATGTACTGTCTCAATATATTTCATTCTCTATATGACTAGAATACATGCATGGCTTAATGTACTAAGGGATATAGGCCAGAAGTTTTTTTTTTTTCATAACACTTAATCTACACCACATACAAGGTTTGACTGTCAGGTCATTATTTATGGGTTGACTGCTTCCCAATGTGCAGTCTGCTTGCTGCTGTTGACTGCATATGTTGTGTAAATAAACTGTCATACATAAAGGCTTGTGCACATATGATTGATAGCTAAGAAAATCTAAATAGTAATGCCACTTGTGCTGATAGTTGAAACAGACTTCTATATTGAACATGTGTCTTTGTTATTTCAAGGTATGGATATACTTAAATATCTTGTTTAACTAATGTATATGCATTAACCTTTGCTTTTATCAATTCTGCAATGTTTTAGTATGATTGTTAAACAATGTCATAGTTTCAATGTAAGTGTTTGTTTTACTACATGAGAATTTGGATGCTCTGTGATTTAAAAGTCTTATATGAACAAAAATGTAAAAAAAAAATAAACATAACTTGAACTTACAGAAGAAATCTAACTAAAATTGCAGTATGTATGATTATTATACCTTTTAAACAACGTGATGGGTTAATAAAAGGGGAAGCAAATGTATTCAAGTCTACACTTATATAATAACATTTTGTAATAAATTCAATGGTGACATTTTTTTACGTCAAATATTTTACACAGATAAAATAAATATAGTCTAATATCACTTTTGTTTATGGACAATGCTTATTGTTGTCGTACACTGAAACATTTTAGCTTATATTTCAATGATTAAATGGTAGGTTAAATGGCATCTTAATGGAACACCTTTTCCCCAAGGTGTACTGTGTAATGCTAATTAATGAACATGGTATTAATGAGAACAATGATCTGAAGTAAAAAATACAACTACCACAATTTAACATAACCCTTCCCTCCCCAACCCTTAAAAAGATGTTGGGAAAGGGTTGCCTTAATAGGATTTGAAATCCGACCTTAATATACGAGACAACATGTTATGGGATACATAACCAGTTTTATGTATTGGGTCATTTGATTTTCATTCTTTACATGACTAAGGATACATGCTTGGCTTAATGCATTAAGGGACAGGACAATAGTCATGGCAGGCATGAGACAACGTGTAATATGATACATGGTCAATTTTTTTATATTGTCTCATTTGGTTTTCGTTCTCCACGTGATTAGGATACATGAGTAGTTTAGGTGTTTTTGTTTATTTTTCAAGCAACTAACTATCATTCTAATTGCGATAGGACATATTGCCAATTTATGCATTGCCTTATTTAGTTTTCATTGTTCACATACTTTTATAGTTGCATGCAATTGATTGGTTTCATTTTATTTCTATCTGTTCAAGAATCTTATGTTTTTTACTGAGAATTATGTTGTGTGAAGCAACAATGTAAAACTGTGAAACTATTAAAGGCTGTTCTGTATGTGATGAGGTTAAAAAGTAAACTATTTAACATGTTAAATGTTTTTTGAGTTTATAAGCATTTATATTAGAGCATATTGCATAATATTGTCTTTCAATTTCTTTATGATGTACATCTTAGTGTGCATCAGTTTTGGCTCCAGTGAGACAAAGAATTTAAAGTACTTACTCATATTTTACTCTGACAAAGCTTTCAAAATGTTAATTATTATAATAAGTTCTGTGACTAAATCTTTGCTCCAGTATTAAAGGTCTCAATGTAATATGGCTGTGTTTGACACCACAGGAATGACAGTTGAACAAGTTGCAGCTACAGACTTGGACACAGGACCTAATGCACAGTTATCCTATCGTATTCAGAAGGGAGGTTTTGATGATTTTTTTATTGATGCTGACACTGGTATTGTGAGTGTAGCACCAAATGCTCAGCTTGATTACGAACGAAGGCCTAAATACATTGTGGAGGTAAGTAAAAAAACGTATATTTCTGTGGCAGATGTATCAACCACAGTCAGTGGTCCAAATTACTGACAGTGGGTTTTATTATAATAATGGTATCTCATCAGAACTTAATATGGCTCTAACTGTAAAAAGATGTTTTTATTTTACCAATGTTAGTTTAACACATCTTGCAAAAAATTTATCAATCATTTAGAAAATGCTGTCTTGTTGTCACATTTGTATCATACTATCTGTAGTACCCATCCATTGGACAGGTGAAATAAAAACTCATTTGTAACAAAGTATCATGATATGAAAGAATGTTTGGTTTAGATATTAGTGATTAATTTATTTTTGTGAATGAATATTTTATTATTGTTTAGTTTTTGTTATAATAAAAGTTAAAAGCAGATGATTGTAGGAAGTTTTGTTTATAATTCATTGACATCGAGAACATAGAAGGCGGATAGACGATTAAATTATAAAGATATAAATAGCGTGAGATGAGCAGGAAGAAGCAGACAGATAATAGCGAAAGAGAATAAAGTGGGTGTGAAGTTAACTACCATAGAAGTGATAGGCTTAACAATTGACAAAGGCCTAACGTTCAATACGTTAGTAAAACTAACAGTAGAATAAAAGATAAGAAAAATAATTTTATTCCATCAAAGCGTGGTTCTAAAGTAATTGAATATACCTGAATGCACTTTGACGAAAGGAACAGAGGATCTTCAGAAGAAAGAAGACCAAATGATTACTTTAACTCATGCCACAAAAGTTAATTACACACAGAATACTAGTGCGATCGAAATAGAGAAGATAGTTTGGCTTGTCAACTGAAATTCTAAAGTAATTGAATAGGCTTAAGCAGATATTAGACAAGAAGGAAGGAACTATATATAGTATTTATGATATGTCCATAATATCTATAGTGTTGAAGAATTTATTGGACATACGTTAACTTGTTTTATATATATATATACATATATTATTTTGAAAACCAGTGAAGTGTACTATTAAGAAACAAAACTAAAAGCGTTTTTATTTTGACAGTTGGCAAAGATCAGATTATTAAATTCTGACACAAAAATAGGAAATTTTCCTTTTTTTTTTTAACATAATTTAAAGTGCAATAAAAATATGTAAATGTACTAATACTGAAAAGAAAGACTGTTTTCTAGAATTCTATCAATATGAAGTTAAATTAGGGGGGCATCCACCTCCCACCTCATCATGACCTTCCTCATGTCATCCTTATCACTGTCAAGTTTGGTGCTGATTGATCAAGAAATGTGAAAACATATAAAGAAGAGATGCGTACACATATTGATATTTACTTATCTATATAGATTCAGTACTTGCCCCCACCCCCCAATGGCACAGCAGTATGTCTGCTGACTTAGAATAACACATATTTGAAGTATCCTTTATATTATAAAAGCAGAATATTCCTTAATGTTTTTGTTTGAGTTATAAAATTATGTTCTTATGAATAAAATAATGCACTTAATTAAATAGTACTTTGCTCTTTATTGTGTTACAAGGCTCATTTCATCAATATACAATTTTTTGTAGATTGTGGCTACAGACAGTGGAAGCCCTAGTAGGACTGGAACAACAACTCTAACTGTGCAGATCCTAAATAGTAATAACAAAAATCCTTATTTCACACCAACTACTCAAAGGGCTCAGGTCTCTGAAGGTATGCATTTTTCTTGTAATACATTAACTCACTGATTTGTTATTATTTAATAGTTAATTGGACATACAATGATCAAATCTGAATACATGCCATTTATCTTGCCACAATATACCTTTTTTTTTATCAATCTACATTTCTAGAATAATATATATATAGCTGAGTCATTTTAGCTAAATCAATCATGAGATACTTTCATGTTACATATGAAAAAAATAATAATAATAATAAATTCCTATTATAGCAGTTTTATTTACAGGAACGAAAAGTTGAGGCTTTGCAATACTTTTAACAGAGAAAGATTTGACTTTCTAGTTTAGTAAGATGTATATATATTTATATCACCAGTACGATCAGATGATAAAACTGGATTTGTTTGCAAACAAAATAAGACTTTATATGACATCTACCAAGACATTTTACTTTACATGTATCTTGATATGATTTTTTTTCTTATAGGGTCAGAAGTAAATGAAATTTTCTTCAGACTTAAAGCTAGAGATCCAGATACTACCAGTGCCGATTCTTTAAGATTCTCTGTTATAGAACCAATCACAGCTCTCAATAAAGATGGTAAACAGGTTGATGACACAGTTACTTTCTACAGGGTAAGTAAACAACTATTTACAATTCTTGGTAAAAATATTTACTATCTTTACAAGAAGAAAACAACTATTCACAGCTCCCAGTAAAAATAGCTACTTTCTGTACAAGAAGTCAATAACTATTAATAGCTCCCAGTAAAAATAGTTACTTTCTGTACAAGAAGTTAATAAATATCCACAGCTCTCAGTAAAAATAATTGCTATTTATACAAGAAGTCAACAACTATTCACAGGTCCCAGTAAAAGTAGTTACTATGTGATATGATAACAATTGAAAAGAAAAAATTAGAGCCCAAATTGAGATTTCTGACAATACATCTTAACCTAGATATTAATGTTTGTATATAACCTCGATGTCCTAAAAATACTATCTTTACTGTTGTATTTAGGTTTTAAAACAACATCTGTGAAACTATACTACTTGAATGAATAATCAATTGTGGCTTTAGAGATAGAATCCTCACAATAATGGGTTACACTCATGTTATTGTTTTCATTTTTTTAGTTTCATTGTGCTTTAATTCTAACCATATTAAATATAAAGAAAAATTGTTTAAATTGTTTCAGGGTGAAATCAGTAGTCTCTTGTTTGTTTGTAATTAAGCACAAAGCTACACAATGGGCTATCTGTACTCTGCCCACCACGGGTATTGAAACCCAGTTTCTAGCATTGTATGTCCGCAGACATACTGCTGTGCCACTGGGGGGCAGTAGTCTCTTAACATTAACTCAATAATATGCAGAAATTTCTGATACATTTTGAAAAGAAAATCTGTTGAATACATTTGCATTATTTTAAGCATACACTAAAAAAAAAGTTTCTAAACACATTTCCAAAAATTCACTACCTAAGGTATTATAATGTCCACTTAGTTTGTAAGTCAATATCCAATTCTGTTAGATCCACCTTTTACAATATTACTATTTGTAGTTAAAATATTATGTAAAATATATATGAAAATAAATGAAAAGTTTATCTATACAGTTGGAAATCCTTTGTTGCAAAAAATATAATTTGAACTGTATTTTGACAGGATTTCTTTAAGGTTGAGCAGGCAACTGGAGATGTACGGGTTGCTAGAAAGCTCAATAGGGAAACAGCTGCTATAGTAACAATGACAGTAGTTGTAACTGATGTTAGTGCCACCCCACCACAAACTGGTAAAGGTTAGTAAGAAACTCCAACAAACTAAAGGTTGCCAGAAAACTGAACAGAGAAGCATTTGCTATAGTAAACAACAACAGTAGTTGTAACTGCGGTTAGTGTTACCCAAACACATACTGGGGAAAGTCAGCAAGAAACTTGAACAAACTGAACTGGAAAATTACTTCCATAGTAATGACGTTCATATCTTTTTTTATAGAAATTCATACAAATCAGTTATGTTTAAAAAATAATTCTGTTATACACAAAAGAATGTTGATATTTTATTTATGGTAATTTGCAAAAGCTTCTTTTTTTTCTTCAGAATTTATGGAAATTTATGTTTATATATGCACAATAGGTTCTAATGTTACAATTTTCAATAAATAATTTTCTTTAAAAATAATAAGTAGCAACTCATATTAAACATTTTGCTTTGATTTATCTTTCAGCTTTTTGGTAAAGTTTATTTTTGAAGTCACACAGAAATAAATTCATAATTATTTGTTTCTGATTTTTTATAAAGCAAATTATTTCCTGGACTATACAAGTTTAATTTATGGAATGGAAATAAAGTGGAAGTTTTGTAGGTGAAGGTAATGATTTTTTTTATATTTTTCGTAGGTACCCTCATCATAACTATTATAGATTTTAATGATTTTCCACCTGCGTTTGCAAGACCTTGGACACCCGAACATCCAAAAATAACTATAAAAGTAATGGAAGAACAACCTATTGGAAGTGTTGTTGCAACTTTTGTAGCATCTGATCCAGACTCTAATATTGCTCATTATGAAATGAAGTCTGATAATGATCATTTTACTCTTGACAATAGCTCAGGTACGTTGTAAAGTTATTGTTTTTATTAATTTATTTGTGCTTTTTATTGTCTAAAGTCAATAAAGTCTTCTTGTAGAGTCATAGTTGGACTCTAATGTCTGTAAAAGTTCCTGATTTTAAAAAACGTTTCTACAAACTCTGTTTGGAAGGAAATGATTCACTAAAGTTCTTATTTTTAGCAAAATGGTTTCTAAATTTCCCTTTTTAAGGTTAATAAATATGTACATTTCAAGCTTGTCCTTTTTCAGGATTACTAAAAATGATTTTGCTCAGAAAGATTCTTTGTCTGAAAGAAGAACTTTTCCCTCGGTACAAATATAAATTTTTAAGGAATTGGAAATATAAGTGCAAACTGTATGTTTTTCACATTCTATCCTTGCTATTTTAGGTATTCTGACTATCAAGGAGCGAGTTGATTTTGAGCAAGTACAACAATTTCAGTTCAGTATAATAGCTTATGACACAGGAGTTCCTCAGTTGTCATCTGTTGCTAAGGTTACAGCTGATGTTGTAAATATCAATGATAATGACCCTGTTTTCTCGCAGGTATGATTACATTTTTCTCTAACCAAATATTTCTATCACAAACTCAATGTATTATTTTTTCATTATTTAGCAGAATTTTGACTAGACTGTTAAAAATATGAAATAAATTTTATGAAATAATTGTTTAGGCAGAAATATTAGATTTCTTTATTGTCAGAGAATACCTTTATGTACATCAAGTTCCATAGCATTTAACCTAAAATTAGTGGAGTTTCATTGCTATGAATGTAACTACTATGATAAAACATCCAAAAAGTCTGTCATTGTTTTGTTTTTAACTTTAACTTGTAAAATTACTTAAAGCTCATATTTTAATATTCAGTTAATAGAAAAGTGGTATAAATTGATCACTTTCTTTGTGATGTTTCTTTACATTGAATATTGCTAAACATTTAATATTTTATTACTGCCCACCAGTTAGCTTTTTGTATGATAGCAGCAGTAGTGTCTTAAATTGCCTATTGGTATATGATTTTATCTAATGAACTTTGGGTAATTCATAAATTTTCACACACGTGTACACACTGACTCTTATTTGCATGTAACTCAGATAGAGAGATTTTAATTTGTTTGATTTCTTGATCCCATTTCGTCTGAAGCAAACATATAAGGCTGAATTGAAGGAAAATGCTGCAGAAGGAACCCTTGTGATAACTGTTAGTGCTACTGATGCAGATGCTGGAGATTTTGGAAAAATTCAATATTCCTTGATTGGAGAACGCAGCTCAGATTTCACAGTGGATAATCAAGTTTGTATTTTTTTAAACATGTCAAATACATAGCTACAAGTGAGTTATTTAAAACACTTATGTAATAGGAGATACAGCTGATGTAAATTTAAATCTGTGGTAGGATAGCTTTTAAGCAAGTAGAAATACTTATCACTTGCCAAATAGAAATTTACAAGTGAATAAAGATAATATAATTTTTTTTACTCAATTGTTGCATAATTTACTCATATTTTCTGTGTTAGGGAGTTATTCGAGTAGCAGCTGCTGCCATGTTAGATAGAGAAGAAACTCCTATAATCACACTACAGGTTCAGGCCACGGACCAAGGGCATGACATGAACAGTCACCGTTCTATCTCTGTTCCCGTGAGTAGAAGCTTTTTAGTGGGAGTTAAGCTCTAGTGGTAATAAATGCTTAACTGATTTTTTAAATGTTTTTGGTAATGAAAAGAAGTTTTCTTTATAGAATTTTGGGCTTTGTTTTTATATATACAAATATGACTTAATTAGTTAATATTCATTTATAGAAATCTGCAGTTAATAATTACCATTACTCAGTTGTATTTATTTCTGAATAGTATTTACTTTCTTGATTTACCTTTGTATAATAAATCCTTCCTGGGCAAATGTGTGTGATCACTTTTGTGTGTATATAAAATATATCATGACTTAAGTTGCTTGTATTTGTAAAAAAAAAAATTTTAATTGAGATTCAGCATAAATTTCTTTCAGATTTACATTTCACTCAAAGATGTAAATGATAATCCTCCAATTTTCACACAAAGAAACTATCGAGCTTCCATTGTAACCAACATCCCTCTGGACCACCCAAGTCCCATCATTCAGGTCATTGCTCTTGACAAAGATGAAGGCCATAATGCTGAAATCTCATATACTATTGTTGCAGGAAATGAAAATGGTATTTTCTAATTATAATTCTAAATTCACTTCAAAAGTATATGAATATTCTGTCTTAGTGTTAAAGTTTTTCCAACATAAGTACCCTGCTAATGATGAAGAAATAATATTGCTCTGACTGAAATCACAGCATATTAATTGTTTTAATAGGATCAATTACTTTTATATCAATGTTTGATTACTACAGTAGTGGATTAAACATCCATTTATAGCTATGATATAAAACAAATAAATGTATAAATGTTAAAGAAAAGTAATTTACTGCTAATATTAACAGACATAATAAATAAAGTTGTTAGTTTTGAAGTTATGAAGATTATGAGTAATATCAAAACTTATAATTTTTGTTTTTGGTTAAAACATGGAGCAATACATTTTTAGTAAAATAAATTTTAATATCATATAATCAATTATTGTGAAAACAATGAAGTATTTGTATAAAATACTCTTTGCAAACCTTTGGTGTGCTAGGACAATTTGCTATAAATGAAGAAAAAGGTTCCATCTACCCTGCTCAACCATTTGAAGATACTCTAAAAAACTACCTTCTTAGAGTGCAGGCTCGAGACCAGAATGGTCGTGGTGGAAACTATGATGAGACCACAGTGAGCATTGAAATTGTTGAGGTCAATCAGGACAAACCTAGGTTTCTTGTTCCTGCCTCATTGAATGCCAGCGTTAGAATCCCAGAGGTCAGTTATCATACTTCTGTCAGTATGTGGATCTTTTGTTTTATTAGAGGGTATGTGATATAACCAGTGCTGGTGAAATTAGTTAATACTGATAAAAGTAAACTGTGTTTAAATCTTTATTATTGGGAGGGGGATGATAAAAAAATTTAAACATGCTGATTAAACTTATTCAGTACTGGTAAAATAATCAGTGTTAATAATCGAAACCTGCTTTCAAGTATAAATGTTGAAATATTATCTAAAACAAATAGTTGGATTATGTTCAACATGAAAAATATTTGTTGTGAAAACAGAGGGAAACACCTGGATTACTAAGTAATATATAAGAAATGTTTTTATGTTTATTTGGTATCATTAAAACACTATTGGAAAACTTTTGTAACTTATTAAAAAATTTAGAAATATATTTATAGTGCCTTCTGTTGTAATTGGTATCTTTTATATACAAAACAACTTTGTTTACATGGTCTACAGCTATTCCTACTAAACTTCAGTCCTTTCCTCTTAACATTAGCCCCCTTATTATTCTACATCGAGCCTTTTCAACTACACACAAACCTTCTTTCTTAAAAAGGTTCATCTCTTCTCCTAGAAGCAAATGAAAGAAAATATAACATTTCTGGTAATATTAATTCACCAAAGCAGAGGGAAGCACAATTATTTTGTGACAAGGCTGCTTTAGAATGTAGTCTACAGTGTCACATTAAATACAATATTACTTTTCTATTGAAAAAAAAGTTTATTTAGATATACTTATTTATTCAAAGTACAGAAGGAGTATATTATACATGGTTGTCTTTCAAAATTTGCATGTATTTATGTATTATGTCAACAGGGATTCAAAGCTGTTTTACCCTAACTATTAGCAAGTCCCAAGCAGATGAAATCAAAAGAACATTAGAATAACTTAATTCATAGATATTTGTTTACATTTATATTGCTGTAAGAATTTTAATATCTTAATTCTAAATCCTGCTTCTGTTCTTTCAGAACCAAAGTATATCAGACTACCTCGTGATGACAGTGAAGGCTGTGGATACAGATAAAGAAGAGAATGGACGTATATCTTACTGGCTTAAGCTTGGAGATAAAAATGTTGAAGAGACTGAAGAGTTTTTTATTGATCATGTAACTGGAGAGCTTAAAACCAAGAAGATTTTGGATAGAGAGAAGAAGCCTAAGTATGAGGTAAAATACATTGTAGTTACAACTGAACATCTTTAACTGATGATCTTGAAATATGAGAGATATAACAGCTATAAAGTGACAGTTATTTTAATGTATAAAAGATCAAATAGTAATAAGCTTTTCATCATGAACCAATAATGTGTAATGATAATAATAATAATAATGAACAGAATTATGTTTAACTAGTAAGAGATACAATAGTAGGGATAGGAAAAATAATTGTTTTGGTCATATATCAGGTTTCAAATATCTGGCTTCTGATATCCAATAAGATTCGGATATCTCAAAACGAGATAGTAAATGTGCACATACACATTGAAAAATGCCATGGGCATGAACCACCACTTCATTACAGTACAGTATTAAACTATCTACTTGTCACTTTTTTTTAATAAAGATGTGTCACAGACCCTTAAAGGAAATGTGGTGCTTGTCAATGTGAATACCATGGTAAATGTTAATATTTTTATAAGCTTGTAGAAAGCATTACTTTGTGTGACACATGACCAAGTAATATTGTGTTTGTTTAACTGCAAGATAAGTCTTTGATGGAAATGTTATCTTTTTAGCTAATTCACTGCAAAATTAATATCTGAGAAGATCAAATTTCATCTGATGTTACTACAACTGATCTGATCAAATATTTCTCCCATACCTACACAGTAGTAATATAAAACTCAGTGTTTATTTAATATGTGCTACAATAGGAATAAATTGATCATTTTGGTTGGTAAATGGTATAATAGTAATAAACATAAAAGTAATTTTAAAATGGTTGTTTTTAACTGATGAGCAATGTAACTATAATAAACTAATTGCTTTTAACCTGTAAGTCATGTAATAATTATCAACTAAACATCTGTAGCTGATAGTAAAAAAAAAAAATTCACATACAGGAGTTACAGAACATTACACTAATTTTAAAAAAAGCTATTTCTACAAAATTCACATTTATCAGTTGTTTATCTTTAATATTTCTCTTTTGTCAGTTAAAGTTTCTTATACAATTTCCATTTTATTTTACAGCTTGTGCTAGCAGCAAAAGATCATGGATCACCAATGCCATTTGAAACTCTTCAGTTTTTAACGGTTGATTTGAAAGATGTGGATGACAATATTCCTCAGTTTACTCGAACACAGGTACTCTAAAGACTAACTTAATCTTCTTTAAATCAGAACCTGTGGTTTTCATAATAACCACAATTTTTGAGTTACTATATTTCTTGACAACAACTATAGTAATTTTTTGAGATACTGCTTTTCTTTACATCAGCTGTGACAACATTGTAATATACTGCTTTTCTGTACACCAGATGTGACAGCGTTGTAATATTCTGCTTTTCTTTTTAAATTTTTGTTCCTAAAGTGGAAAATCTTTGAGGATTTATTATAACTTCTGTCTCATAGTTTTATCATTATATTCTTAATCAGCACAGTACTTTTTTTCATTGTTAGTTATGATTCTAGTCCAGAAAGCCCTTATAGTGTTCAGATTTAGCAGATTTTTACTATTTGTTATAAGGTAGTGTATTTGTTGATTTATAATATTTCTAAATAATGAGTATTATAT